ATGATGAAGCGCCTGAAAGAAGTAATTTAGAGTATCTTTAGCATCTAAGATCAGAATATCTAGGTATTAATACTCTGAAGGAGCTTGTTTACTTAGTTCGTAGTATTAGAATCAACGGAATCAAATGAATTAATTATAAATACTATACTCTAGAGCGTATTATAAAGATTATTCAATGTGCAAGATCTGAATACTACAGCTCTTAATCATTCTAGCGCATTAGTTAGGATCTTCTTGATTATAATAAAGCGCAGAATAGCTCAAAATAAGCTTTTATACTCAAAGATGAGTATAGTAGCAAGTTGTTTGCCTTTCCGATATCTAACAAAGCATAATCCATAATATTTAATATGCTTAGATTATTCGAAATCTGAATATAATGCTAATATCGCCTTTTCATCTGCAAAATCAAACAGAATGCAGACTTCTCAGTTATAAGGAAGCTATACGAAACGGTATATATACAATGATGTGCTAATAATAGCATCGATCTGGAGATTACTCTACTGCATACGAAAGAGTTAAATAGCGCTGCTGAGCGAGCTGGGCGTGAAATTCAGAAGTGTGCGCTAGTTCTTCTGTTGTTAGCCAAACTACCAAAAAACCTATAGCTAGAGTATGTAAAAGCAGCTATCTGGCTATTCAACATCTCTCCATCCATGCTCAAGTACTCCGAAATGCTAAATTTATTTCTGGATAGCTGGTTCAGGCAGTACTTTTGTTGATATGCACTGGAAATAGTTAGAACAGCAATCTCGAATCTATAGCCCAACTGAGCTAGAATCTACGCATATGGATGCTAGGCATATATTCTGCAAGAAGAATGCGAACTTAGCTCTTATAAACAGGATATGAAAACAGAACTAAGAATATACAAGAGCTATCTTGTAGAATACATTGCAAGCAATCTATATTGCATATAGCTTTCAGTACTTGCAAGAATTGCAATTATGCATAATATTCTATTCAATAAGAGCTAATTCTATAATCCAAACAGCAGTAAGGTATTAGAAGCATTATTTTGTGCTTAGCTAGCACTAATTGTTTCAGAGGTTGGAAATAATGAGAAAATCATGAATACAATCATTGTTGGAAGCGTATGGGATTCAGTTCCCTGGCCTGATGCTACAAATCGAAACTAAGGATCTCATCCGCTGTTTGACGAGGATAGTAGCCTATTCTCAGAGTTTCCCTTAGGAGGTATTCCGAGTTGAAACTTGGGGGTGAGAGCATCTGAGACTAGCAATGAAGCGCTTTTGCAAAGCAATCCATCCTAGGGAAGAAGCTTAGGGGATAAGGTGCAAGAACTTCCAACTTCTGAAAAATCTTCTGAAGTACTGGAACGAACGGATCAGCTAGAAAGAAGTGCTGCTGCAAGCAGCGAGGATGTTTCAGCAACTGAACAGGCGTTTTCAAGTACTGAATAATAAGCTACTAGTGCATCTACTGCTTAGGATACAAGCTAGCTTGCAGTGCGAGGGTATAAGCTTGGTTAAGCTTCAACTAGATGTTATTGAATAAGGAATGAGATCTATGGATCTCAATTCATACAGCATTCAGATAAAGCATGGAAACTAATCAATAAAGCTTGCTAATACCAAGAGTTATTCGCTACAGCCTTTGTAACGAGCTAAACAGCTCTAATAAACCTTATAGCTATCTTTTTGCCTGATTAGCTAAAGGAAGCAATCAGAATATGAAATAAGCGTTTTCAGATTATACATAATGTAGTTGCAGCTGCTGTACTTAAAGCAAACTCTATATGCAGAGGAGCCTTACATTTGCAGCAAAAGCACTTTGATGCTTCTTAGCAAGTTATAGAGCTGGCAATAGCTGAAAAGAAGCATTATAAATAACTATTATCTGAATCTGGAATCTGAAAAGAAGCATGAAATAATCCTTTCTATACTGAATAATAGAAAGCGATGCAATCAGAAATCCAGAGACTAGTCAACAAAAGGGTATAGCAGATCCTTGAGCATGAGAAAGCCAAAGAGAAGCTACTGCTACTCAAATGGATATACAGATACAAACTTGATAAGAACAGTTACTTAATCTCATTCAAAGCCTGAATCTGTATGCGAGAAGATCTGCAAAAAGCAAGCAATCTTCAAGATATGTATACAGCAACGCTAGCTACACACTCCTTTCGTATACTTATAGCTGTAGCAGCATATTTCGATCTAGAAATCAACCAGATGGATATTACTGGAGCGTTCCTGAATGCCAGCAGGGAAAGCCAGGAAAGCGTTTTCTGTAAGCTGCCTGATGGATTCAAGGAGGAAGGGAAAATCGTGCTTCTGGAAAAGGCACTGTACAGCCTGAGGGACTCGCCAGCACTCTGGTACAGGCACTTCTGCTCAACTCTGCGAAATCTCAGCCTTACGCCCTCAACTGAAGAGCCCTGCATATTTACCAACAAAGCAAACAAGCTAATCATCCTGTTCTATATGAACAATATCCTACTGTTCTATCCGCAGGACCAGGCATCAAAGGCATGCAGAGTGAAGGAAGGGATCTTCGAAGCATATGAGGTAAAGAATCAGAGAGCAGCGGAATGGTTCTTGGGAGTTCGAATCATCAGAAACAGAGCTAATTGCACGATTAGCTTAGTCTATAATGCATATATCGAGAAAATAGCTAATAAGTTTGGCCTTGCAGCTAATACAGCTTTAATACTTCCAACGCTTCTAGATTTTGGGAAGCTTGTTAAATGGAAAGAGGAAGCATCAAAAAACTAAATTAAGGAGTATCAGGAGAAGATTGGATCAATTCTGTATACTGCTATCATAATAAGATCAGATGTAGCTTTTGCATACACTCTTCTCTCCAGGTTTTTGACAAACTCAGAGCTAAAGCACCTGGAACAGGCAGACAGAGTAATCTGTTATCTGTACGGAACGAGGTTTCTGGCAATTCAGTACGGAGGAAGCCACCCTGAGGCTCAAGCCCTGCTAATCGCTGGAGATGCTTTCTTTGCTGACGATGCGGAGGACCGAAAATCCTCATAAGGATATATCTTCAGCTTATTCGGAAGTTCTATATAATAAAAAGCAACAAAGTAAAGCTTGGTAACCACTTCAACCACAGAGGCTGAACTGTACGCTCTCTCAGCTACAGCCAAGGAAACGATCGCCTTATAACGCTTCTTTTAAGACTTCATCTTGAACCTTAGCAAGCTCTGGAATATCTTCTGTAATAATCAACAAGCTATACAGCTAGTAGTTACAGAGCATGAAAGGATAAATACAAAGCTCCGCTATATGAATATATACCAAATGTAGCTTAAGCAGGAGTTCCAAAAGAGCAAATTCCAGGTTTCATATATGCTAACACAGAGCATGCCAGCTGATGAACTAACCAAGAACCTCAATCAAGCACAGTTCGAACACTTCAGAGCGTTTCTTAACCTTCAGGATGTCAGCTATACCTTGAATCAGAGGACTAAGAAGGAATCTAAAGGGATATAGATGAGCAACTCGATCTTACATTAGCCCCTTTTGAGTGCTCTCAATTACTGAATTTCATTTATCAAAATCAAAAATGAGAGCTTATAGCTCAGGGGTATCATCCAGAAACATGCAAACCAAGCGTGCAGCCTTCATCAAACGACGAACCAAAGGACTTAACCACAAAAAAAAAAACCCAATCATCTACCAAAGCTTAGAGCACACCTAAGCCTGAACAGGGCTCACTCCTTAGGTGGGGAGTGAAGGGTAGCCAGCACTGCTTCAATATCAGCTTTGGCTTTCTCGTGCTTCAGATGCTATTCACGGTAAGACTCGACAGGATGATCATCGACAGAGCGCGAGACAGACTGAACAGGGCTCGCGCTCTTCTCTGTGGCTATCGAGGGACCACCATGCAACTCAGACACACTGGCAGGGGAGCTGGGGTTTGCACCCAAGAGATCCTCATCAGTCTCCACATCGGGAGAAGGACCAGAAGAAGCCACATAGATCTCGCCCTCAGCAGAGTCGCTGTCATCAGAAACAGCCATACTAAGCTCGCTAAGAGGGACAGAAACGTTAGACTCGCCTGACGAGAAATCTGGAGTAACTAGAAGAGGCATATTGACGCGCAGAGGCTTTCAAAAACCTTGAAAACAGATGGAAAAAGAGCTGGTTGAAAAAGAAAGAGGACTGGAAGAAGGCAAGGCAACTGTAAAACGCGCTCACATAAGCTTAAACGCATCTGCAGGGACCCCACAAAGACTCACTTTTCTGGCACATCTGACCAGTCAGATGGGGGGTGTATGAAAAATGGGGCATATTTAACTCTAACCCTCTGTTTTGGTCTCCTCATAAACCATCTCAGAGCCTGGTTTAGTTACTTAGAAGATCTTCCTTTTGTATTAGATAGATTCAATCTCAACACTCATTCAGCCACTTCCACGTGCTCAGCTCATACGTTTCTCCTTATAACTAGATCTTGAATCCGAACAGGAACTCGTAGAGGCTTGCGTTGATAGAGTATTAATATGAATTATTCAGATTCCATTGCAAAGAGGGAATTAGATTTATCCAAATCTCATCAGAGTATTCAGCAGCATAATATCTAATAGCTAGCTCAACATCCTGATTCTTTCATTCAGCTGCCCCATCAGCCTAAGGATAATATGCTGTGATTATCTGCAAATGCGTGCTAAAGGTCTTCCACAGGCCAGTTCAGTAGTCTGAAGTGAACTTGGCGTTGCAGTTAGAGATAATTGCTCAAGAGTATGCTCAGTTGCTTAATAGCAGCTATCTGCTCAGAACAGCTTCCTATTGCTTGGCTGAGTAGATTAAGTAGCCTGGAATCAGTAGGGTTTTCTTGAAAGTTTTGCAAGTGATAAGCATCAGTGAGTTGTAAGCTTTGAAGCCTTTCATCTGCCACAGAATGCCTGTTGATTCGACTGATAGCAGTTCAAGAATGAAGTTAAGGGAGATTGTATGCATAGATTCAGAAGAGGCTTGAATTGGCTGAAATAAATCTGCTAGCTTCTGATTTTGCTTCTTTTGAATGCTATACTCATAGCAGTAATCGATATACTGAGAAATGAGCAATCTCTTCTTCCTGAAATAAAGACTATCCAATTCAGCTATCATACAATCTCTGCTGAAGTAGTATTTATCGTCGTGAGAATCGTGCAGAAGTTTCTGCATGAGGGATCGTGGGATGATAAGGCGCTTCTTTCCATTATTATCGTAGTTGTACAACAATTGATTCTTTAAGCAGAATGAGTAGCTGAGCTTAGAAGCAGAGATAATATTTCCATTGTTTGTTAAGGCAGAAAGCTTCTTTCCAGCTAAACTAATCTTCATCAAATCTGTGATGATATTACTATAGACTATATTCTTCTTATACTCTTGCTAGAAGTGCTATTGCATATCTTCAGATATCTGTACTTTTAATAAAATGAGAAAGACTGTGAGAAGATTATTAATCACTATATCAAGAGTAGCTGATTCATTGCTCTATTATGCCTTCATATCCCCTGTTGCAGACAGCCTTAATAAGGCATCAGAGATGTAGTTGAGCTTTCCAGCTAGATAGTAAATATTGAACTGGTACTAGCTAAGATAGATGGAAGCGTTAACAAGATATTAGTTCGCACAGTCTGTTAATGAGATATCAAGATGCGTTTGAGTAACGATGCCATACGTGGCGTTGTGATCTGTAAGAATAACTACAGGCTATGCTTGATTTAACTGAATCAACTTGCATAGGCATTTCGTTGCTTAGACCAGATATGCAACTTCTTGCTTAGAGGAACTGTAGTTTATTTCAGTCTTTATTAAGCAGCAGCTAAGGAACATCACTGGTTTGATAGCGTATAAAGGAATTAGCTTGCTAAGCTGCTAAGCATAGTTCTCCTTCAGCTAAAAAACCATTATGCTGAATCCTTATTGCAAGCAGCTATTCACTTGAATGAATAGCTTCTGAAATAGTTTTATATAATACAGATGCATCTTCTTGCAAATAGTATTCTGCAAGTTCTCAAAAGCTATTCTTTCAGCATTCATCAGTTCGTAGTATATGCGATGTATATAGGCTTGATGCTGCAACTTCTTCTCAAGCATGATTTTCCCAAGCTTGCAGCTTTTAGCCAGCAGCACTATCTTGCGTAATTGAAGCAGCTCTACGAGCTGCACGTAGTAAGGGATCATTGTTTGCAGGAAATCAGTTGCGCTGAGGTAGATCTTGAGATCTTTGAGATTTTTGAGGAAGATTATCTTCTAAAAGGCTTCAGTATGCTCCTTCGTAGTAAATAAGCCAAGTGCATTAATATAGAAGCTAAGCAGTTTGATAGAGGGAAAGCTAATGTAACTCTTTGTAAGAAAGATAGAAATCTCCTTCTTATCAAAGATGCTAAGAGCTATATTAAAATGCTTTAGATGATTTATAAACGAGTTGGAGAAGATTATAATATCGTTAATAAACGCTTTGATAAAGTACTTATATTCATAAAGCAGCCTATCCATGTATCTTTAAGCGTAAGCAAGCGAGTTATAGTAGCTTATTAAAGCTATTATTAATTGCTTAAGGCTACAGTGCATAACCATAGTCTAACAATCTCGGTATTCTAAGTGGATAGGGAACTGGTAGAAGAAAGCTGTAGTATCGATAACTGTAATGTATTATTTACTGCATATAGCTTCAATTACATCTAACTGAAGAGAAAGGGAGTAGTTGTTAAGTACTGCTTACTTGTTAAGAGCTCTAAGATTTGCAATAATGCAGCTCTTTTCCTTTCCGTATACTGTATGCCAGACTACAAAGATTAGCAATGCGAATAAGCAAATATTATCAGCGAATTCGAGGCAGCTAGCTTTATATATATTCTCGTATACCTGATTAATGAACTTTTCATCTTTGCAAGAAACAGAGTAATAGGAGCGATTCAGCTTTGCATGCTGCTATCTCTTCATTAAGGGAATCTTTATCATTTAGTTTTCTAGCATATTAAGAAAGCTTTTGTTTTCCTATACAGCTAAGTATTTCTTAACAATCTTCTTGAACTGCTGAGCTTTAATAAAGTTCTGCAAACAGATATGAATACTATTATTGAGAACTATAGCTGAAGCTTCGTTTGGAGCCTTGATTCCCAGAGATCTCTTAATAATGATCGAAGATTTCCTTATATCGAGATCGTAATCATCAGACAGTAGAAGCTCAGCATTTGCAGAAAGATTAATGCTATAAGCTATTCCTATGTTGCTTAGGAACTAACAAACAGTATTGCTGTAAAGTATGAAGAATAAGCCTTTCTTGTACAGAAAGTTGCTAATCGAGCATATCTCTGTCTCTGCACTCTTGGCTGTTGCAATAATCTCTGATATAAGATTGAACTCTTCATTCACTGCTACTTAACTAATAGAAATCTTCAATGAAGATGCGAATTGCACATCATATGCATCTATTGCGCAGGTATTAGCTAGCTGATAGATTAATGCTAGTCCTCTCAAGGCAGCTGCTATTGCTAGGGCTTTTATAGCGCTCTTAAAGGTAGCTTTGAACTATCCAGTATCTTCATACTTGTAAATAGTGCCTATCTGCATGCTTTTGAAAATCTTAATAGCTCCTTCTATAGCATTGTGCAGAGCTACTACAGGGGGTGAAGAAGCATCGATCTGCGTATTCAGTGCAGTTTCATGAGTTGATATGAAAGAGAATGAGCAGCTTTTGAGCAGTTCAGCATATTTCATAGCTACCTAAGCAGTCTCGCCAGAGCTAATAATATAAGCATGAGCTATCCTCATCTTTTGTACAGTAGATGAGAGGGCCTAATGCTGGATCTCGAAAAGCATATGAAAGTTGCTTTGCTCTGAGTATGTAATAGCTTGATTCTTGTAGTTGATAATAGCCTTACAGGCTTTGAGCTATCTGTTGCTGATAAGGGCTTTAGCGGGTAGATTGTTTACGATTCACGCTTTAGCGCGCTAGTATAGCAATTCAGGAGAGCTGTTAGCACGCCTGCTATAAGTGTAGAAGTTCTATTCAGCGTATTTGAATAGTATAATCATGCTCTTTCTCATATTCCTAATCTTCTGAAGCTTGTAAACTGAAATCTTAGCAGTAGGGAACTGATTGAGGAACTGTTGGTTTACCAAATTGTAGCTAGTGCTAGTATCTTTGCAGAGAGTTATATTATGTTTGGTGAGAATAGCTCATATAGTGATCTTTATATGAGTATAATTGCTGATAAGCTTGTTCAGCTGCTTCTCGAGTATAGCTTCTGTAAGGATATCTTTAGTATGATATTGAACTGATAGTATGCTTGTTTCAAGCAAAGCTGTTTCAAAAAACATAGCATGCTTCAGATGTTTCTTAACTTCTTTGAAAATATTCATCTTCTGATCTCAGTTCTAGCAAGCGCCTATATACTGAAACATCTAGCTTCGAGAATCAAACTCCCTATTACAAAAGATATATATGCAGTTAACTGAATGATTAACTTTATGTAAGTTGTAGATGCAGCTTATAGAGCTAAGCAATTAAGAGTAGTATAATAAGATTAGTAAGAGCGATTATTCAGAACTATCAATTCAGTATATCTGCTTATTACTAAGCAAAGATAGATTATTACTATTATCCTTAGAAACTATATTTTTATTCTTATTCTCAGTAATATTGTAAGCTTTCTTTTTATTAGAGATTGCTAAGCAACTCTAGTTGCATTTCTTGCAATTCTCAGACTTGCTATCTTTCTTGAACTAATTATAATTACAGTTGTAGTTGCAATTCCGAGACTTATTGCAGTTGGAATCCTGGTTTCAGTATGAATTGCAATCTTGAAGCTTGTATCTTGAGAAACAAGTTATACTCTTATTATAATAGCTTAACCGATTCTTATTGCAGCGATTACAGCTATAATCCTTTCTATAATCCCGATTACAATTATTGCAGTAGTTGCAGTAATTATAATCATTGCAGTAGCTGCTGCTAGTATGAGAGTTATACTTGCAAGCAGATGAATGATTGCAATAACTACCTTTTCCTTTATAATACTTAGAGTATTACTGATTAGCTATATTAACTAAGATACTCTTAGCCTGCTTAATTTCTTTTATATACTTATTCAGAGTATTGTAGCAGCAAGGAGGAGTAAAGTGGTGCTGAATGCATTTATTCATCTTACTCTAGATGTTGTTCAGAGCGCTCTTTCAGTTGAGATTTTCGCAGTTGAGAATACTTATATTATGTATATACTGAAGATTCTTTTGAATAAACTTTCGCAGAGCAAACTCGTTCTCAGCAATATTTCTCAATATTAAATAGCTCTTACAAAACTTTCGTATAGCATGCATGGGTTTCATAGCGAAGCGCTGAGCTAGAAGATTAGTAATAATGCTGTAACCTTCTTAGCAAAGCTTAGAGCGTTTGATATTAGTTAATTCATTAGTTTATTAGTAAATAGTAGCGCTTTATAGTAAGATGCTGAATATGCACAATATCTTATTCTCGATATCAGTATTATTCATACTATCTTTAAAGAACTCAAAATAGTCTAGAAAAGACTAAATATTAGTAAAGATGAGATTCTTGCTAATTGTAATCATGCTAATATCTTCAGAGTTGTTGTATTCAGAATTGAAGACTCCAAGTTCCTCTTTCTTCATTTTCGTAATATGCTGAATGCTTGATTGATTAGAGAACGGAGTATTATTATGCTGATTATAGAGATTGCCTAATCCAGATTCTAGAAGCCTATTAGAAGAACAACAGCCTCTGCCACTGCTTCCTTAATCGTTGGAGTTATCACTCGAATCATCAGAATCACTTCCTTCAGCGCTATAGTAAACTGCTCATCAGGAAGCTGCTGGATCTTGTAAAGAGCCAGATATAGCGAGAGGTAGATTACCGTTGCTGGCCTGAAAGCGAATATCTGAAGCTGTAGCTTCAGGGCCAAGCTTGAAGTAATGCATCAGCTAAGCTAGCATGTTAGTTTATTTACCAACTTGAGTATCAAGAGCTCCTTATCTAATAGCTATCGTGGCTTGCTGGATCTCAAAACGTACTACAGCCTCCAAGATCTTCCTGATTTCCAGATTTGCATAGATCGCAGCTATCTTCGCATTATCAGCCTGCATCTTAATATAGCGAATATACTCCTTGAAAGCAGAGTTGTTTGAGAAGTTGGTTGGTTCTTCAGGGTTCTTGTATTGGAGGATGCCAGTATTGCATTGAGCAGCAGGGGATTCGAACAGCGCTGAGCTATTGCCATAGTAGTCTCCTGCCTGGAACGGGTTGTCCTAACTAGCATTCTTCTCTTCTTAGGGCGCCATTGCGTTATCGCTGGTTGAGCGACTGTGGAGAAGTTCAGAGTCTTTGCTTAGTTGTAATGCCAGACTGGCAGCTAGATTAGCTGTAGTAGCACGGTATGCGGGCAGTTTTGTTGGGTTCTTTGAGAAACCGCTCATAGTTAGCTCAGCTGTCAGGCTGTCTAGCTGGGGTCAAAATCAACAGTAAATCGCTGCTAATCAAGCCAATTTGGCGATATGCAACAGATGGATATGAAGGCTAGGAGATGGTTTAGGCTTCTCAGGCGAGTGTGCTGTAACCAGAGTAACTCGTGGCATCTGCGCGAGGATGTCTTGAACCGTGCTCGCAAGGATCAGAGTATGCTTGCTGATTTCAACTGCTAGAGCTTCCATCAGCAACGGAGTAAAAGGAAAAAACAGCTTAGCTGTGAATGCTTATGAATGCCTGTGAGTGTATTTTTGATGGTTTTTTGTGGTATTTTTGATGAAAACGCCTGTTTGCAAGGTCTCAGGTAAGCGTAACGCGTCAGAGAAGTCCGTGGCACAGTTTCAGGTGAGCGTGGTGCCAAGGGCTTGTTGTTTTGGTGCCACGATCTTCACGATAGTGGGCTTTTGGTGTTTTTGGGTTGCCAAGGCTGCTGATTTCCTAGGTGGGCGTATCAGCACAGTGGCTTCGTGGGGTGAATCCTCAAGGAATTCCTCAATGCAGTGTATGATCGTAGCTACCACTTGTAGAAAGCACTCTATGGTGTACTACAAATGGTATAAGGGAAGATGGTTCTTCAATTAATCTATCTCAAGGCACGCTGTTGCCAATTGCCTTTCTATAAGAGCCAGCAATTGGCACTAGTCCCAACTAGGCTAGCGTACCTGACGACTCACTGCCCTTCCATTGAATGGCCCAGGCCAGTGAGTCAGGGTGGCCAGCCAAGCCTCATTCACTTGAAGCCCCTATGGCCACTGCCACATGAACTCTATTGATTATAGAAGTTTCAGCTGAATATTCTGCTATAATGATAACTGCTTAATATACTTCTCAAGTAAGAAAGACTCAGAATAATTCTCTTAGAAACTTAGATATTATAAGCAAATAATAATAGAAGAGCAAGAATATATGCTTAGCATTATTATAAGCAGCAACAATTCGAACTGCTCTGATATTATTAAACAAAGTATTCAGATATTGAAGAAAGAACTTAGTAATAATATTCTTTATTATT